GCCTGAGGGCGCCCTCAACTCTTTGCAATCTTCGACAAAACAAACAGCCCAGAGTGAGACGACTCAGATCAACTACCGCAGGTATGTTGACGCTTCAATGTCCGCGGATCGTCAGCATGAATCGACAGTCTCTGACCAAAGCTCTCCTGTGTGTGGTAGTATGACGCAATTGGCTTTGTGAGATGGTGTGTCTAAAGGTACGTTTGCTGTCCGCTGTGTAACTATCGGTACAGGTGGTGTAGCTACAGATACAGATGAGGTATCGTCAGGCTTTTCTGGTGCACGAGTTTCAGTGTCTCGCTGGGTTGCCAGATCGTCTATGATTTGTGGATACTTGCGCTGGATAGCGCATCTTCGCGTATCGTTCCACTTGCATCGCGATCACTCATCACAGTGTTATATCCTCGGCTAAGCGATTTCATCCTTGATAATATCTTCAAAGGTCTCCAAACCTTTCATCATCTCTTTGAACACGAGCGTTCCGTTTCTGCTCATGATATCGGCAATACGCTTGCCGCGCTCCAGGGCATGCGTGAACTTCGTGGATGCATTGAGAACTTGGTGACGTCCTGACGTTAGGGCCGAATCGCGAATTCGAAAACTTGTGCACGCGTTTTGCCTCTTGGGTGCGTCGTTTTCAGCAACAGGCTGATTCAGCTTGAAAGACAGCTTCCAATGTAGCGCAATGTGACGAATGGGGATCGCTGACTTACTCTCTATCAAACACCAGTACATGTCGTGACACAGGGTAGTAGTATGGTTCTCATGAACACGCATGAGCACCGATATTGCTGGACACATTGTAAAAACAGTTAAATATTATACTGAAAAAATGCAAAACGTTAAAATGCGTACTACCGTGTCAACGTGATACGAAGCAGCCGGGTCTCCACCGGTAAGAACAAACAAACTTAAAGGGATTTCCGGCATCTTGTAATGGATTGCGCGATCCTTGGACAGCCAGTAATGCTCATCCACCAATTTGTATGCGTAGGGTTTGGCCAGGTTTTTTAGCTCATCGTCCGCTCCATCGTACCGCATTTGACCCACATCTGTAATCTTCTTGGCGTACTCCATCACTGCTACGGCATGAAGGAACATCCGGGTATTAACACTTTCATCAAGCGCCATTTCCGGCTTTAGAAATTCCTTGATGTGCCCCCCGCGAGGGTTCACGTCTGGCAAAGATAAGATTTCAAATAAATAGGAAAACGTAAAATTCATGATTTACGAACCTGAAATTGGTGTGGTTGCCGAGGTACGGAATATCCGAACGAGCGTATAGAGCCCATCGCTCTTTCATAGAGTCCCAGTTTTTCATGAAGTATATCAAACACGGGTGCTGTGGTGGGACTGGATCATTCCGCGCGAGATGGACACTATCCAATAGGACGTACAAATACTTAAGATACTTCGTGTATTCTCCCGTGGATGATGACAGTCGCATCATGTCCACAGCATCTTCCACTTGGTCTATGTCAAAATCCGACGGTCCATCGTACTCGCTCTTCGTCATCTCAGTTCGAATGTAATTCTTCAAACGAAAGTGACATAGAATCTTCTAACATCAGAAAACTCGCTCTCTAGTAACCCCAACTCTTCCATGTCCTTGTCGATGACAATGACCTTGATCTGATCCCACGGTGGACTATTGAGCTTGAAGGCACTGATTGCGTCTGACGGACGTTCGGCGCTTTAATACTCCATGGGAGTGTGCTGCACGTATTGACCCTAAAAGCAAACAACAGTAGAATGTAAGTACATTTACATGCTCTGTATACCTTTCTTTTAAGAGTACAACTGGTATCTAGCGACACTCTATAATACATCACATGTGTCTACAGCTACAACACTAGTGCCTACAGCTACAGCACTAGTGCCTGCAGCTGCAGCACATGCCTAATGTTGTACTACGACTTACAGGACCGTACACGTCGTTCACCACGAGTGAGAATAACTTGTGCCGCTAGTTGCTGGTATTATGCGTGGCGTCGATTAGAGCAACCTCCGCGAGATCTTTGAACCACCTCGCATCTACCGAGTTTGCGTCGTAATGGATTGTGCTGTCTCCGTCTCATCTACAAACACAGTGGCTCGATCACCGCGGCTCTGACAAATTTCTCTCAGTGCCCCCCCTAATCGTTCCTCTGTCGTGGACCCCCCTCTGCGTTTTTTTCTTTATCCTTACCACCATGTTATGTACGTCGCGTAGCGTAACATTCTAGCCTAAAAGCATGAATATAAGTAGTAGTTAGAGCGCCATCTTATAACAGATTACAATACAGCTAAACGTACTAGTCTTCTTACGGAGAAACTGCATGATCAACTTGGGCTTGGACCCTGCGGCATGAAGTTCGTCCACAAAAGCCAACAAATGGAGTCTTCGACACGTCTATTGGACACGTGGCTCTCGAAGATGGCCTTGGATACTTGGTGGTTGTGTACGACACTGAATTCAGTAACACGTACCGTAAACCTGCTCTCGGCGCCGCTCCACGTTACTGCTGCCTTGACACTTGCGTGGCTCCCGGTGATTTTGTCAAAGAACGCCTTGCATATCCCTTTTCCTCGATTTTTCTCTTCCAGCCATGCGTACACACTAACTTGACCCATCAATTCTTAAATGATTCAGGAATCAAGCGCTCCGGAATATCGGAAACTCGAGCGACTGCTTCATGTGCACCTTTCGCTGCAATCACGCCCCCCCCGGAGCTGTAGGTGGTTGCGAAACGGTCTGGAACAGCCTTGGCAGGCCAGCGATTTCTTGATTGTGCTTTCTAACCGAGACGGATGTCCGCTAGCGGAAGATCTGGTACGTTTTCGCTTAGTACTCATCCATGTACGCGCGGAAAGTGCCATTCGACGTCAATGGGCGGACAGACCCACGTAGTGTCCGGTGGGACTTGTAGCTCGGGCTCACTGTAACTCTTGCTCCTACTTGACTCCAACCTACCAAGCACAACAAAATTGCGTCAGTACATATACAGCCCATCGTGATCCTCAATTCAATTTTCCTTGTAGCCCTACACTGTTGCAGAAGTATACTCTCCAAAACGCAGCTTTGTGCTGAGTTTGCGCTTTTCCGAAATGGACGGCTCAGAACGGGTGAAAGGGGGATAGGGTGCATAACTTTTCAAAAATCATGAGATTTCAAATTTTGGAGTACATGAGCGTAAATTACAGATGCTGTACCAGTTGTGTTAGCAATTAGATACGATTCTACTCGGTGTCCCGAACCAGCTCCTTTATAATTTAAAACAGCTGTTTTTCACCAGCTTAAGTTGTAATCTACACATACAGTACTGCACCCATTTTCGCGGGGGGGGGACCATTTTAGGATTTATAAATAAATCAGATTTTGGCTTACAAACTTTAGTTCATTTGGATATGGGATCATCACATCCGAAAGTTTATCAAAGGTCCAAGAGCGCGAAAACGGGGTGCAGTACTGTACCGGTATCATAATAATACCGTATTCTTAATGTGATCGACGACAGTCATACATTCATGACCTATCCGCCACCATAAAAGATACCTGCAGAAAAAAAATTGTCGGCGACGACACGAAATTAAAATTGATTGGATTGGCTGTTGCATTTGTCGCTAATGACTAATGCCGTGCTAAGCCCGGTGAAGCTCTGGATATAACGGTATTTTCAAAAGGTAATACCTGTAACTACTGCGAAATGAAGGACTTTTTAGAAGAAAAAAAAGGAGAAGAATTGCGATTTTACTAAGACTTCCAGTCTACAGTAGAAGAAGACATCAACAAACCGAGCGAGAATGATAGTCATTCATTTGAGTGGCTATCCCCGAACTTCGAAAACTTGAAAACAAGTTGGTACCCTAACTTAAGAAAGTACTGTATTTTAAAGAAGACCTGTAACGATTTTTCCACAGCATTATGGTTTCTTAATCTGTTCGATCCTCAATTGCATGAAGTCTTTGGGTTTCTGCCAGCGCATCACGGCTTGGAGTAAAATACTCCACAAACTCTTTCGTAAGGGGGGTCATGAGATACAACTGCGATAACATTTTCACTCGAGTGACGGCGGCATAGAAAGATGAACGCTGAGGAATCCTGCGAGTCAAATGACGAAACTTAGCAATAATCATTTTCTCACTGTCAGTCCTCCTTTTGAAATACCCGACGTGGTAATTCGTTTTCTTCCTCTGATGTGCGTGATGTGTGTGCGTGTGTGTGAGTGTGTGTGTGTGTGAGAGGGAGGGGGGCTTACTTACGCGTTACGTCGTATGGTTGATGTGTATGAGGATACAGTTTAGCCAAAATGAAGAAGCCGCGGTCGAACGTGCGCTGTCGTCCGACCTTGCTGTCTTGACGCGAGACGGCCTCGGTAGGAATCCTATTAGTATTCATCTATTCCCTTCTTTACTGTTAAATCATGTAGCCTTCATGTACTGTACCACCCACCATCGGTGGTATCGTATATTGGAGCAACATCCACCGAAAACCAGATAGCGTGAATGTTGACCCAGGCGGCTTGGAACGACATTCACCAGTTCTTTTATGCTTTACCGTAGTTTATTAGGTATTCCGTCCTTTTAGCCTATCACTTGCAAGCCACTATACTTTTAATAATTACAAATGTAGCACCCTAATATTTTATCAAGGATCGTCGATGGTTTTCGATCGCCCCTAAACATCTGGATATGAATATCCAGAGAACTAAGCGTCGCCAATCACATAAGGAATACGTGTACGGTACAGTGTATAGGATAGCTTGGGGTGTTCTTTCAATAAAAAAAGCAATTTGCTTGGGTACTATCGGACACTTGCGTGCAAGTAAGAATGATTCAAAGTCCCATCGTCATTGATTGACTCGTCAAATCCCTCCAAAAAAATCGGTTGTTACGTTGTAAGATCCATTTGGTTTGACATTTGAATTTTTTAGACCACCAGCTTCCTCATTGTCATTTCGCTATTCGAGAAGCCAAGCTCGAACCGAATCTCCTAGATCCAGTAACTTACCATCACACACATGCGCTGCAATCACACCCTGTGTGTTGTGGCAATAACATTCCTTGTCAGCTGGAGCCAGACGCTCTCGACGCCTGTCGAATCACGCAGAACGGAGTCGCCTCTTGTACGCAGCGTAAGTGCCACCGAAGAGAGAAATATCTTCTCACAAACCGCAGAAGCAGTCGCGAAATGGGGAACTACGACGGCATTGCTTAATCTCGGAAAAACCGACGACGAGGTGAAAAAGATTCTTGGATTGGAGAAGCTGTCGGGGGAAGCTCTAAAGGCTCATTCAAATTACCACCTACTGGACGACTTCATCACTAAACTTCGAGACCGCAAGGTGACGGGGTGGCTGCATAAGGACACCACCACAGATGAGGTCTGGAAGACATTGCAACTGGACGATTTATTTGCAAAACTGGACGCGAAAGAGTTCCGCCACTCGGACGAGTTGAAGACCTACGTGCAGTACGTCAAGAAGCTGGATGACGACATTTGGAACTACAAGAGAGCAAGTTTTGAGCCGGACAGCAGCTCTCCATTAGAGTTGGCGGTGAAAATCCACATTTGGGCCAAAGCAAAAAGACCTTCGTGGCACGTTCTTGAAATGATGGGCAACAACGCTCTCAAAGGCAGCAAGAACCGCAAGTTTTACAGAGAATATTTGTTACTGATTAAGGGTAAAAAGCCGATAATCGACTTTTAGACTCAAGCTAAAAATAAAAACTGGTCCCTGATGCTGCAGCACAATAGCACGAACCAAGTCACGCAATACAGAGCAGAGGAAGAGTAAAAGAATGACAAAAATACAACAGGAAACAGTCACTCTAACAGCATGCACATCACCAGCGCAAGGCCTGATATTATCTGAGTATGTGTATCAGGCTGTAGTAGAACGCTTAGAAAAAAAACACTGGTCTTCACTGACGTTAGTGAGCTTTTTATTTGCCAGATGCCACAAAACTGTAGCAACTGAGTTCAGCATAACCCAAGATTCCTGTCCCCGAACGATTATCAAAACTGCACGTGGTAAATGTGTAAGGCCCACTAGTAGACGAAAACGTGGCAATCCAAAGCTGACGTGCTGGCACTTGTTTGCTTTTCCCTGGTCTTCTTCCACGCATTAAACTTTCCAGGATTAAGCTCGATCTCTCGCTTACGTAGGCGTAACCACGGCCTTACCCGGATACTTCCGTGCGATACATGAAATTGTTGACGTCGGGGACACTCCTGGCCTTCGAGCTTGTCGGGGTCAATTTCAGGCAGCAGCTTCTTCTCCTCGATCAACCTGAAAAGCTGCTGCATGTGTTCAATCAGCCATACATTCTTTAGTACGCTGTGTGCCAATATTGCGGGTGCGGCTTTTCTCGAGTAATTGACGGATTTCTTTCGAGTAAGGCCCTTATTCGGCGACACTTCGAGTAAAAATTTCCAATTTGGATTTTCTACATGCCAGTAGATCTATCGAGTAAGCTAAAAACATGGGAACACCGTAAGCTCGCCGCAAAAACAAGCATGTTATTCAGCAGTGAGAACCCACTGTCTGACAATGACGGCCCATACTGCCCAATTATGCTATCAACTGGAATGTTGGGACCGAGCGATACCGTGCTCGACAAATTATACGCGTAGTAGCGTCGGCACGACGGTAAGAGAACAAGAGAAGATGGGGCAATAGCAGTGGCCTGCTTCAGAAGCGCTGTACCGCGCCATCTTGATGGTACGACTTCGACGGACTGGCTTCGACTCGAAGCTGCACCTGGGAGCAGTGCGTGTTAGTCAAGTAGTTTTAACATTTTCCAATCAATTCACTTTTCAATTTACCTTCATGAGCTCAAGCCCCCTCCACCAAGCGTCGGTATTTACCCCCGCCAATTTCCAACAAGGTATATTTGAGCGTCAATTTGACGTCGAGAGCGCAGGACAACTATCTGTTACTATAACTCCGCCCTTCTTCGAAAACATAATTCATTTTATTTAAGTGATCAATTATTGGCAGTACTTTATTGCAGTCTCATAAATATTTCAAAACAAATGGGCTCGAGATTGCCCAAACTGCTTGTGTGTTTTTACAGTACCGGTAGTACTTCGAGGTAGTATTTATCGGGTCAAACCAAATTTGGGCCAAAGAAAAAATAATCGTGACACGCAAATAACAGCAACAATCGCAACTTCTACGTCGAGAGTGAAGGACACAACGAGCCATTTGGTCAGCCACCAGGAGCCTATGTAAGTGCGAATCAGATTATTATCTACTGTAGACGAGCATCGATATGACATCTTCGCTTCCATTGGTGTGACGAGGATACGCGGTGGACTAATCTTTCGCTTACGCAAGCTTGACCACGACCTTACCCATGTTCTTCCGTGCGTACATGTAATCGATGGCGTCTGGAACACCCTCGAGGCCTTCAAACTTGACGGGGTCAATGCCAGGCACCAGTTTCTTCTCCTCGATCAGCTTGAAAAGCCGCAACATGTGCGGGTGGAACTGGTCGCGGTAGTGAGCCGAGATGAACCCACGCACCGACGCCGACTTGAAAATGAGCTTGGGCACCAGCTCACTGGCTGAAAACTCGTGCTTGTCTCCGTGGTAGCCCGAAATGTGTCCGAAAGCGATGATGCGGCCCTTGACCGCGATGTTGTTGGCAACGGCGCGGAACAAGTCGCCACCCACCGACTCGAACACGAGGTTGACGCCGTCCGGGTATTCTTTCTTCAGGACCTCGTCCACGTTCTCCGTGTTGTAGTTGATCACGCGGTCGCATCCGATGGACTTCAAGTGAGCAGCTTTCTCGTCTGAGCTGGTCGTGCCGATCACGTGGTTGCCTGCCAGTTTCGCTAGCTGCACCACGAACTGCCCCGTGCCACCAGCAGCAGCCGTGACCAGCACTGTCTCGTTCGACTTCATGTGCCCCGCCTGCTCTAGAGCAATCGACGCGGAGCTTCCGCAGACGATCAGCGGGAGCGCATCAGCAGTCGGGGCTGGCACCTTCACTACCATCGCCATGTCCACTTCGTTGTACTCTGCAAACGCTCCCAACTCTGCAGCAGACAGACGAGGTCAGGATTCCTCATTAGACACTTAGCCTTGCGTTTCTACGTACTTCTGTACGCGACGGCGTCGCCCACTTTGACGTTAGAGACCCCCTCTCCGACTTCCAATACGACGCCAACAGCGTCCAGTCCACAGCCGAACGGGGGAGGAAGTGGACCTGTGTACGCTCCGTTAGTGACGTTCACGTCGGTGGCGTTGATACCCACATAGTGGTTCTTCACTACGACCGAATTGGCATGAGCTTTCGGTATTTCGGCTTCCTCGACGATGCGCGTGGCTGCGCGGAAGTCCGTGGACTTAGTGTGCACTTCTAGACGCTTGTAGCTCGGCATGGAAGACGCAAATCCGACAATGAAGATCGCGTCAGTTGAAATGCGTGTACCAAAAGCACGGTACAAATGTGTCGCATGCATCCGTCAATGAAGTGTGCATGCAACCAGTGTTTACTAAACACACGAGCATGTACATATTATAGTATATGGTACAATATTGGTAGCTCCAAAATCGGTGAAGCTAATATTGTAAAAATATTACCTGTAGACCAGTTAATATAAAAAATATCACCTAATATTTTCTTCTGAGACAATATAATATTATTATTAAATATTAACTTAATATTAGTTAATACGATATTATATTTTCAAAGATTACGTAATCGGGCTAGCTCCACCAATCAGATGTCGTTAACGCTCGACTAGCCGAAAGTATTACTAATCAACCGTGAGGGAGGGACAATTTGTAAGAGTGACGGCAAGGTTGGCGTCGTGTATTGGCACTGCTGAGCGCATTAATCTAGCGCCACAGGCAGCAGGTTTATTAGACACACGATGTGGACGAGGAGATCGGTAGAGAACAAGAACAAATGTCTTGATTTCGCTCTATCAGAGTTAAACAGCTGCAAGCGTTTGCAGTTTTCCATCTCGATCGCCTTTGTCTGTGTCACAGTGAGATACTAGAGCAAATTCTTAAAGCCTACTGCTTTTCTAGAACCTGATCGAAAAAGTCAGAGGGTAAGCTGGCAAGAAACGTACTTAAGTGGGAAAATATCATAAAATATCATATAGTATCTAATATTTTTCTGGTCTCCGAGTTAATATAAAAATATTATGTTAACCTTTGCAAAATTTAGCTACTATTACTGTCTAATATCGAAAATAGTACTACTACTATCAAAAATATCATATGATATTTGGTTACCATTAGCCCCTGCGTTAAAGATCGACTAGCTGAAGTATTACTAATCAGCGGTGAGTCCGGGACAATTGTGAGAGTTACTGAGCGGCTGCAGATTAATGGGATGCAAGATACGTACGAGACTATCGGTAGATAACAAGAGCAAATATCATGATTTCGCTCTATCGAGTTAAATCAGCTGCAACCATTTGCTGTTTTCGATCTCGATCGACTTTGAATGTGTCAGTGAAATACTTTAGCCAATCCTCGTCAGTTTTAAAGCCTGCCATCACTTCTTCTATTTTAAGAACCTGACTGAAAGAGTGCTCTAGAAACATACTTAAGTGGGAAAATCGTAAAATACCATCTATAATTTTTTAATCTCTGAGTTAGAATTCAATATAATTTTAGTTTTGTCCTAGCTAATATTGATATTTAAGAAAGAAATAGTACTATTCCTTCAAAAATATTATATGATATTTGGCAACCTCTTGCGTCTTACACATAAAATAATGGAAAGTGACTTGTCAGTTTCTGTCAATCAAGTACACGAGTTCTCTGGCCAACATTCCAAGACTAGATGGCGGAGAACGAATCCCGTTTTACCCTTACGAGCGTGGCCGTCGTGTGTCGCCACTTGCTCGGGATACAAGCGCTTCCACATGTGGTACATCTCATCCAAGAGTTTACGGAGAATACATCACAACGGGCGTTGTTGGGTGTGTTGGAAGAAGGGAACTATCATCTATTCACCCGAGTACTTCACGCTGTGGACGAGAGTTTAAACATGATTCATCACGAGAAGCTGCGCCAGTATCGATATGCCATGCAGCTGGTTCCATGCAAAATGACTTTGGAGGAAGGCGCGTTGGGGGCGATGCAGCAGTTATACGATCGATACTCCGGTGCTCTGGACGACGAGGCAGCCAGTTATATCGCTAAAACTGCAGAACTGCCAATGATGAAATGGCTGTACAAGGTTAAACCTCGACTCTTCAAGGATTTTCCAGCTTGCAAGGGTCACATTTTCATGCACGCCTCGCTGAAGGGTCGAGGCGATGTCATTCGCTGGTTGGTGAAGCTTTTTCCTGATGCTGTGTGGAGTCTAGTCAACGCGGCTCGAGGTGGCCATCTGAAAGTACTGAAGTGGCTGACGAAACGTACAAACTGGGATGATAATTCGGTAAGCGATGCATTGCAGAGCGCAATCGAGGAAGATCACCTAGACACCGCCAAATTTCTTTTACAGTCTAAACCTGGCAGAGATCAAGAAGTCTCCGAATATGAGACTTGAATCACTCGAATGAGCCATGATCCGATCGAAGTTTGGAGTCACAAAGCTTTGTGTTGTATTACTGCGAAGACAAGGAAGACTCGATTGCTGCAGTTGCTGCACACTCCACCATCCCGAGTTTTTCTCCAATGAGTTGATGGCTGTTGCAGCCGAGAATGGAAATCTGGAGATAATAAAATTTCTTCATCAAAATTGTCGACACGGATGCACCTCGAGGGCAATGAATTCAGCCGCAAAAATGGGCCATCTAGAAGTTGTGCAGTGGCTACACAACAACAGAACAGAAGGATGCACTAGTGCTGCAATGGACGAAGCTGCTAGAAATGGCCACTTGGATGTGTTAGAGTGGCTCCACGCTAATCGAAGCGAAGGATGCACGCCACAAGCGATGAAAAACGCAGGAAGGTATGGGCGCATGGGGATTATGAGATGGTTGCACGAAATATTTGATCTTAAGCTACCAACAAACTACGCGGACAGACTAGCGTCTCTTGGTTGCTTGGAACTTTTATCATGGTTACACTTTAGCGGCAAAGGGCAGTGGTCTAAAAGCACGATGGACGCAGCAGCAGGTCGTGGACATCTCGACGTCGTCAAGTTTTTGCATGAGAATCGACATGATGGTTGTACCAAAGAGGCCATGAATACGGCAGCACGGGAAAATCACCTGGAAGTGGTCAAGTTTCTGCATGGAAACAGAAGGGAAGGGTGCACGAAAGCAGCGATGAACGCAGCAGCGAAAAATGGCCACTTGGAAATGGTGAAATGGCTTGTTGAGAATCGACGTGAGGGCTGTACGAAAAGTGCACTGCCTGCAGCAGCTCTTGGCGGCCATCTGAAGATCATGAAGCTGCTGCATGCGAACTACAACTTTGACTGGTCCCATAAGGCGATCGACGACGCGTCGTCGGCAGGACACACGGAGGTCGTGAAATGGTTGTATTATCGCTTAAACCAGACACTTCACAGTAAGTTCGCTGTTTCTGCTGCTCGCCACGATAACCTCGGCGTTTTGGAATTTATTGACACGGTATCAGATTTTGCGGCCAATACGTCCGTCTACTATGTTGGATGCGGAAATGGGAATCCCGAGGTGGCGAAGTGGTATATTGACCACCACGGAAACCCCCGCAAGCGCAAGCGGTAGGGGCGTCCCAAGGAGGGAGGTTTACTCTCGACGGCCGGATTTGATAACGCTAATTCATAAAACGAAAATTGAATGGGTTGTGGTACATCCGATTAATCACATGATCGCTGTGATTTTTCTATGCAAATTAACCGGACGACCCTCGAGGGGGACTTCTGTACGTAAAAATACTCATCATTCACGATGCTTATTCTAGCTGAAATCACCGTAAAGGAGCACAACAACCTTAAAATTGACAAAGCGCTCAGCGGCAAAAACCTGGAAAATACTGAGCAACAAGAACATGAAGAAGAAGCAAATTATCCACAAAACCCTCAACAGTAAGACTCAGCTGTCCCAGTTTTAAACGTTTTAAAGTGTTTATCGGTCCGAACGTGGCCGACTTGTTCCAGACTGCGGTCTCGTTTTATTCTTGATCTTGTTCTCACAGAGCCGTGTTTCATGGAGAAGCTCTGGATTATACTACGGTGTGTAGGGCGGTTGTCTCGCCACTTTGGGAGAAGGTGGTGCTTGCATAAAAGAAATGGCTGCGCAAATACAATACTGCTCGTTAAAAAAAGTTTCTGAAGAATAAATCAGAAATATAAGAAAAACTGTTGATTTTTTTCAGCTACAAGCGAGGTTGTTATTCCGACGATGGTTCCAATCCAATGCTACCGAAGAATAGAAAAAGAATGAGCGCAGTAATGGCTGTGAGGATGGTGCCCTTGTAGAGTGCTGCCGCGTTCGGGTTTCTGTCAATAATCGTAGCAACTCTGCGCTTGATGTTGCTGTTTGTAAGCGAGATTCTTACTACTGAGAGCTTTGTGGAGATTTTTGTCACTGAGCATCTTGTTCAAGTTCTTGTTGCTTAGAATTTTATCAGCTTCTTGTCGCTGAGGGTTTTGTCGATGTTCTTGTTACTGACTGCTTGTGCGATGTTCTTCTCGTTGACGGCTGATAGATTCGGTGTAAAGAGGTTATCGACTCTCGACGCGATTCCCCTCTCTTCGGTGTATTTTATCTCCGTTCGAGTATCGACAACCCTGAGATTGTGCGTGTTATCATCGCCAATAACACTTTTGCTGCGCTCAATCTCTTGTTCATGGTTGGCGCTTGCTATCTTTGCGCAACATACCGCTAGAATACAAAACAGCAACGCCAGAAAACTAGTTGAGCGCATTCCAATTATTAACATCGATCTTCAGGTCCTGCGTGGTAATCGAAATGAGAAGGTTTGAGCTAATTTTGCGTAGAGAAATTCATACCACGAGAGTGTTGTCGATCTGTCGAAGTGTATGTTGAGTACTGGGCCATTATACTAATATTAAATTTAAACCATCTGCGAACCAGAAGTGATCTGTTCGAGACAATCTAACGAACACTGCACTGTACAGTCTGTAGCTAGGATGGTAGCAACACATTACTACTTGTTGAGCATGTAGTACTTTGTTTTTAGCAGCTACTGTAGTAGTAAGGGTAGTAATTACTCATACAATACATGGTACTACAGTAGTTGGAGCCTGACTTGCTACTTTTCAAAACTTTATTGTAGAAATCGAACATTCGTGTTTTGGAAAATAAAAAAGTCTGATAATAGAATGCACTACCTCGTTTGTGGCCCACATTGATATAGTACACCAGTGAGATTATCTACTCGAGCTTGACGACCAGCTTGCCGATGTTCTTGCGCGCATACATGTAGTCAATCGCCTCTGGGATGCTCTCCAGACCGCGGAACTCGGTCGAGTCCACTCCTGGGCTCAGCTTGCCCTCTGCCATCAGCTTGAGCAGCCGCTCGATGTGCGACGGGATGAACTTGTCGTGGTTGTGCAGAAGGAAGCCACGCACACTCGCCGACTTCATGAGCAGCTTCGGGTTCAGCTGATTCACCAGCATCGGCTCGGCCGACTTGTCGCCGTGGTAGCCCGAGATGTAGCCAAACACAATCACTCTTGCGTGCACCGCCAAGTTGTCGGTCACAGCCTTGAACATATCGCCACCGACGGTCTCAAACACGAGGTCGATGCCCTTCGGATACTCCTTCTTAAGCACTGCACCCACGTCTTCCTTCGTGTAGTTAATGACACGGTCACAGCCCAATTTCTTCAGGTGACCCGCCTTCTCGTCCGAGCTGCACGTGCCGATCACGTGGTTACCCGCGAGTTTGGCCAACTGCACGACGTACTGCCCGGTGCCTCCAGCAGCAGCCGATACAAACACCGTCTCATTCGTTTTCATCTCTCCGATCTGCTCCAAGGCGATAGACGCCGAGATGCCGCCCACCGTCATGGTCACTACAGCGGGGGACAGTTTCGGTGTCTTGATGAGGTTAGCCGAGGGCACTTCCACGTACTCGGCGAAAGCTCCGAACTTCTGATACGCCACGGCGTCACCTACTTTGACGTTGGTGACTCCATCGCCAATAGCGTGCACGATGCCTGCAGCCTCGAGACCGCAGCCGAACGGAGGCGGCAGTGCACCCGTGTAGGCGCCGGCAGTTAAGTTGATATCCGTGGCGTTGATACCCAAAAACTGGTTCTTAACAACGACGTTGCTGGCTGAAGGGGTGGGGATTTCAGGGACGTCGACGATCTTGGTGGCAGCACGGAAGTCCTTGGACTTGGTGTGCACTTGGACAGACTTAAAGGACGGCATGGTTGCTAGGTGGGAAGTGAGCTCTTGCACTCAGATTGTAGAATGACGTCAGTGAAGAGGTGCGACCAAATCGAGAAAAAAGTGTTGATGAAACAAAATGCTGGACTAAAAATGAGACAAACGGGTCGGAATGAAAACCCGGGTTTGTTTGATTGGGAGTTTGTAAGTGGACGAGAACAGCTGGTTTTGTGATTTGTTAATCGGCATGTCGGACGTCAACACTCCGATTAAAAAGTTGGTGAAAGAGCTCAGCGTACGATGACAAGGGAATCGCATGTTCTCATCGTACGCTGAGTCTTAAAGGGATTTTGTTGCTGACTCGTATTATAGTAGCTGTAGTCACGGTAGGGCTGACGAGACTCCAGGCTGGAGTCCGCTGATTGGCTTTAGATCTGATGCAGTCCATACGAAGAAGCTGTGCGTGATTCTCTACCTGTAAGCTTAAATGAAACAGGGCATCATATTTAGGTGGCGGTGTGATGAACACCGGGTCGAAACCGTCACTTATTATAGCAAACGTGAGTTGTAGGTAATCTCCACAGCCTTTGTTTGAGTTGACACTGTCAATACGGGAACGAGCGTTGAAAACGTCACGCTTCGTCACCTACGCTAGCATTTAGTGTCAAGGTGACCAAGCCTGAAGAAATATGTTAGGAATCGAATCTTTGCTAATTGCACAATAGCACACAAGTATCCTCTTTGCAGGACATTTTTGTAAAAAAGCTTGACTATGGGACCGCTGGTTGGAGATCTGCTTGTCATAGTCATACTCGATACTCAGATGCTGCAATAAAGAAATTTTTAAAAAGATATTCCGAAGCTCCCTTAGATTTACGCGAGACAAAAAAATAGAGAATGCTTGCACATACCGAGTTGATCCATGAAATACCCACACCAAGCCTTGTAGATCTCTGGTTCACTTGTAAACTTCCCGCCGTTCGCCTCACTCTCTTCCCGGGCAGCGACGATGTTTGAGCGATTCCAGCGAGTGGAGGCATCCGACAGGAGCTCGTACTTGAGTTCGGTCAAGTTCTCTCGGCCCGATACCTACGAAGAGCTGCCTTCTTCTCGCGTAGAAGAAGGTCGTTACAGCAACGACGGAGCTTTACGTGATGGTGGAGCTCCGAGTCTGTTCTCCACCGAATCCTGTGGCTTGTTAGCACAATACGCCGCAGTAGGTTTGATGATGGGGGCGCTGCCAAGTGCCGTCACGCCGTTCCTGGGCTACTATCTCAACATGGAAGGCCAAGTCACGACCTCAGCCCGAGCGTTGCTTGGCATCCCGTGGTCAGTCAAAGTTTTTATCGGGATTGTCTCGGACTGTTTCCCTCTTTGTGGGTTCCGTCGTCGTCCCTTCATGATCATCGGCTGGATGCTCTGCACCATTTGCCTCGTTGCTATGGCTACATTCCCTCTGGATAAACCCTACTTCCCTAACGCTTCATGGAGGAAGATCAAGCCAAGTGATTATACAGCTGATGAAGTCTCCGCTATTAACTACCACGCTCCCTCTACGGGAGGGAAATACGTTGTCTTCATGATGTTAGCGACATTGGGCTACGTCATCGCTGACGTGGCTGCAGACGGTGTCGTGGTTGAGTATGCTCAACGAGAGCCTATCGCGATTCGAGGACGGACCCAGACTGCGATCTACACTGTTCGTAGTATCTTTAGTATTTTCGGGAGTGTCTTGGTGGGCTTCGGCCTCAGTTCACCACCGTACGGAGGGGACTTTAGCTTCGGGGTCAGCTTTCCGGTGTGTATTTTGATACTAGCAATCTGCTGCGTGCCTGTGGTCCCAGTGACTTGGTATTTCGTCAAGGAAAAACAAGTGACTAGGCCAGATTTGCGACAGTATATGGGTGTTCTGTGGGAGTCGCTACAGAGTCGTGCCGTCTACCAAGTCATCGCGTATAGCTTTTTCTCGGGGGTATTCGGGGGTATCAGCTACGTGGCGTCTGACCCAGTTACCATGTATTGGGCTCGAGCTACCAGTTTCAACATCTCAGTATCTCAGGTCATCGGATCTGGCGTGACAGCCGTAACGCTGGCGCTAATGGGACGCTACGGACTGGACTGGGACTGGCGTCGTGTCGTAGTCATTACAACGATCGCTGTGGTTGCGCTTGACGCCGTGTGTACAATGCTCACTACGTGGGCTGTCGTGCGTAACCAGTGGTTCTGGCTCGGATTACCAATTGTCGAAACTATTCCATCAAGTGTCAACTTCATCGTCTCGAGCTTTGTGGTCGTGGAGTTGGCGGACGAGGGAAACGAAGCTGCTATCTATGGTCTTTTGACGACGGTGGGTAACCTCAGTAACCCATTCTCAGCGACAGTCACCAAGGCTATCAACGAACCGTTTGCTGTTAGCAACCGAGATATCCTGAACGACTCGCACGCTACCCGTCGCGATGTCACCATTGTTGTGCTCATTTCGTACGCGAGCAAGCTGCTGTCGCTGTCGTTTCTTGTCTGGCTGCCGAGACAGAAGGCTGAGACCCAAAGGCTGAAGCAAAGTGGCAGCCGCAGCAGGTTGCTGGGTGGGGTTACAATTGCGTACTGCTTGTTCGCGTTAACATGGTCACTCCTTATCAACTTGTTGGGTATTTTTGAAAGCACGAGATGCCTGAAGATTGTAGGAGGATGCTAACAACATGTTACTCTGGCAGAGGGATGCTTTAATTCACCAATTCGTAGCTCGAAGAACTATTGTTACTATTAAATACATGTAGAGGATTGGGTTGGAGGGAAAGGCAGTAACGTATTACAACATTTAAAAGTGAAATCCAATGGGCACTATAATAAGATGCTACTGAAGTAACTGTTAAAGCAACTGTATCGGTAGAAAAAAAAAAACGGCTTGACGACAGCTTACTCTACATGTCTACTAAGGTGCCAACAGTGAAAATTCCACTATTTAGGTCGTCAACCATGCTTCTTTCCTTTACAGCTTCAGCTCCAATTACCACTCTCAATTGAAATACGTGCTCTAGAGAAGTATACCCAAAGTGCCGACATACACCAACAGATTCTGCAGCAGCTCATATTGCATTGTGTAAAGCAGCTACCTCTTGCAGGAACGTCAACTTCAAACATGTTAAGCTCGTCGTACCCACCTCCCACCAACCCGAGCACCAACGTTATCTTCACTGGAGATAACGTTGGCCAGCCTGGATATTCTCCGAACTGTTTACGCACCAACATTTTTTACACTAACTGTGTCACCATGTCTCTAACAAAAATGCAAAGTGAAGGAATGTGGCCAAGTCTCACCCCACCCCATCAATACTTAGGAAATATCACAATAATCCAAAATTTCGTGGCCGTGGAAATGTCATCCACATCATAAAACTGAGAACGATCTGTTTCTTTGACATATTTACCTACGTACTGCGCTTTATTTATCTTCGTAACTGTAGCAGATCAAGGGATTGTAGCTGTTATCGACAGTTGGATCGGACATGCCTGACCGAACAAGACAGTGTGTGCTGCCGTCGGACACGTGAATGCGCATCCACCGCTTGCGCATTCGCCAGAGGAGTCGTTCTCAGTCCCCTGCATGGCAAACGAGGTTCAGTAGACTTGGCTAAGACACTCAATCAACTCACTTTTGATTTTGCTTTCAACGGAATGGACAGCAAGTCAACTTTAGCAGCTTCAAGTCCGTCATATCTGGCACGACTCAGCACGACGCTGACGGAGACGTCGTTATGGCTGTGAGCCAGCCGGTGTTTGAGCTCGTCCAAGCCCCGAAGATCGAGGATTGGAGCCAGGCAGAAATCGTCGGTCTAAAAACATGTTTTGACAAAATTCTATTTTTCCAAGGAGGCATGATTCTCTGAGGCACGTCGCTCGGTAAGTTTCTTACATCTGAATGCACTAATCGAAAGGGTAGATCATGCTCTTTCCAATGGCCTAAATCGCGATTCGTACTTAGTTTTGTAATCATCTTTTCGTTTGACACCGTATATTCTGATGATGTACCTGGCATACCCCGCCGCCCGTCTGGTGAGACGTAAACCCGGTCTCAATAAATCTGCGGGGTAATATCATTGTACACACTAACTTCTGGCAACTAAACAAACTATATCTTAAGTTTTGTGATGAAAAGTACCTTGTGTCCATCACCATCCCTTCCTCATTGACAAATCATCGACATTTTGTACCTGTGCACTCTTTATATTTAGGGCTATTAATAAATTTAGAGGTTGCATTTGACACCCTGGTATGAGTAGCGTCCACTAATAAAAACATTAACGAGTACAATAACAAAAAGCGCGCGCCTTCTTTACGCCCGAACGGAGCTAATGAAAATTTTATATCATACGATATTTTTGATAGTAGCTATATTATTTCGATATTAAGTAGTAATAGTAGCTATTATTTTTTAAAAGCTAATATTATATTTTTTTAAAATTAGCTCAGAGATCTGAAAAATATTAGGTGCTAGATGAAATACTCCCTCTTAAGTACGCGGCGAAGCTATCGGCAGATTACAAGAATAAGGTATTAATAAGCCATCGGTTCACAGAGGGTAAGGTGGTCAGAAACGTACTTAAGTGAAAACATATCAAACAATATCAAATATTATCTTAAATTTTTCAAATGTCTAAGTTAATATTAAAGTGTTTTGCTAATTTAATATAGACTGAGTTACTATTGATATTTAATATCTAAAGTATTACTATTACTATTGGAGGTCCTCCAATCCAAGTACATTTATGTCTGACTACCCCTACCCGCTTTTAATAAATAAGTCTGACTACCCTCAATAACTAAAACCAATTTCTCTATTAAATACCTCCACTTTACCTAAGTACTGTAAAACAACACAAAATTTGTGTTGTTTTACAGTACTTGGAGGTCAGAGCTGACTTTACTGATATGAACCAATCATCGTCGCCGACGACCTGGAATCTGGGATTTCAGCTTTTTTTTGCAGATCTGATTAGTTTAAACAATCCTCTTTCCAAGCAGATCATCGGACAACATCCCTTCAAATGCGTATTTTTTTACAATATATTTGAACCAGAGCACCTAGATCAATTGGAGACAAGAAACTGCCGATCGAATTTCTTTTGTTAAAAATAAAACAAAAAATAATCAGTTTACTGTCCTTTATCTTCTTTGAAAAAGAAGAGTGCGGTCGTGAACAGCATGTCATCTGTTAAATGTCTTTCATTTTTAACTTCACTTTTAATCACACAATTACCGAATTTCTTGTGTCACAACTCACTCTTAGGTGGATATGGTTGCTTCTGATATGTCCCCATGAAGATCGGCAGAGGGTTTGGTATTATGTTAAAATGAAACGTAGCTGTCCTACCAATCCATTCAGTTCGGCGGGGTCCACATAATCTTTTGCATTGTAAACAGCTCTCTTTGAAGCTACTACTGGTACTGCTATGCACCCATCTATGTGTACAGTACATGCATCTTTTCCGGTTGGTATCCAGTCTGCAATTTACCATCTTAAGCCACAGTGGACTAACATCGAAGTTGAAACACAAGCTAACCAACCATGCGACACTGGAATGCAATGTTAATTGCAGCAATTTTCCTTTCGTGTCTGTCGTTCTCTGTGGCGATAGACTCAATAGAGCGGCTGAGGACATCTACAACGGCTGAAGTGGGGGAAGGAGAGAGGGCAATTATCGGTTTGGATAAGATCGCTGATAGCTTAAGCGATGTTGGCGTGTCTGGAGTGTTGTGGTTTTGGCTGTTATTTCAGAAGAAAACTGCTGATGATGTTTTTGCGTATCTGAAGCTGTGGGAAACGCCCTTTCCGATAAGAAATTGTATACTTTTAGCAAATACGTGGACATTGTCAACACAAAATACCCAGAAAAGAAGATGTCGGTGCTCGGAATGCTCACGGCAAAATATGGGGAGGTTGCAGTTGCCAAAGAGCTTGTGACTGCGAAGCGGTTCGCCCTATCCAAGGATATTGCTACTAAGCTGCAGACGGAGCAGTTGCGCGGGTGGCTGAATGGCGAAAAGCCTGCCAAAGATGTTTTCACGTTACTTAAGATAGTTGATGACGATGTCGCGTTTGCGATAAGTCCAAAGTTGGAAACGCTGGACGAATATATCAAACTGCTCAATGCTAAGAGCTCGCAGCACAAAACAGACTTGTTTAAGACGTTACGGGACGGTTTCGGAGGTGAAGACAAATTTGCAGTCGTGGTTTCGAAAGCTGTGGCGAATGCTCCAACTGCGTCTAAAGCAGGGCATGGGAAATACAATACCCAGTGTTATTTTGCGTGAATCACATCCGTAATAAAGACTACAATACCTGGCAACACAATAATAATCACTGCAATAATCACAATATATTGCTATCACTTAGTCTTCGATGCAACCGAGAAGGGTGGAGCAGTTCCACATACGGCGATTAGCACGAAGAAACATGGCCGTTTCAAAATTAGCTGGTAAAGTAGATGAACGTAGCGATGTAAAAACAAGCTTACACTCAGAGAAAAGTCTCTCGCACGTGTTGCTTGTCGGAGGAGCGCAGAGCAGGAGAGGATCATACTCGACAGACGCCTGCGATGCAAGCCGCGGCTTCTTGGCTTGCCGGAGGATGGAGGTCGTGAAGTCCGCCGCAGTCGGCACTTCCTCTTGTGCGGTAGACGGAGATAAAATAAAACTGTCGACTGCATGTAATTCATCCGCGGAGAGGGGTAGGTCGTTTTGCAGCTTCACTACTTCACTATTGCAGACTCGAAATGGGGCGAGTGAACAATCTGAGCTGTTGGCGCTAAGTAGTTAGCCGTGACAGGATACTTAGCAGCACACGCATCAAACAACAGGCGCACCTCGGCAAGCGTGCATGACTCCGCTTGATTTTTTCACACACACTGTCCAGCTCACGAAGCTTGTCCAATACATCTCTAACGCGGCGGTGCGCATGTCCACGAGGCACAAACTCTTCAACAGCCTCCACCGTCAGGATCGCATCACGGATCTTGCAATATCGGTCAATCATCTGGAATGTAGACGACCAGCGCGTAGTGTTTGCCTTAACAGGCTTGTAGTTGGTCGCCTTTGCCAGTGCAGTAGCATTTTTGACATGACGCAGCTGAATCATCAGGTTTTGAATCAGATCTATCTGAGACTGATAATCCTGTAGAAATCGATTCACCGCGAGGTTAAATCGATGACTTGCACAGCCAATGAGGGGGACGCCCATTCGTGTAGCCATACTCTGATTGGTTGCACAATTGTCCCCCACAACATAGCGCACCATCTGCAGGTTCTTCTCGTACACGCTCAGTACGGTGGATATATGATCCAGGTGGGCTTCAGCTGTCTGGCCGTCTTCCATTGGCGAAAGCGCAAGAAGGCGCTGGTGGCGCACACCATTGTAGACGTAGATCGCGTAGATGCCGAGGAAGGGAAGTGAGTGACTAGTCCAACCGTCGAACATTAAAGCAAAGGAAGTTCCCATCTCCTTTGCAATGATTGCTCCAACGGCTAGAGCCACATGACGCATGTACCGCTTCAGTGTCTTGGTAGTCGTAGGCTTCATTGTAACTACAGCACGCGTAGCCTTGTTTTCCACTTCAGTGATTGGTAGATTTCTCTCGATCACCCATACCATCCATTGGTAGATATTGCGCGTCACATCGTCCACAAAACCAAACGTGGTAAGTGCTGGCGTCTGCGTGGCATGAAGTTCTGCAAACCCAGCAGCATACCCAGCGTGCTTGCTGTTAAGGTGGCTGAGGAGGTTGCTGTACCCCGTGCCGGGCGTCTGCTTCCGAGGAAGCCCACAGGATTTACACTCAAAGCGACCTTCACCGAGGTCGCTGAAGTAAAATGCGCAGAGTTGACGGGAGGTCATCGTGGGTAGCGTGGTGGGTAGCGTGGCTAAGAGTGGTGGCTTGTTCTCTAAAGAGAAAATTGAGAAGTGGGGAGTGTGTGAATCAAAGCGCGCAGGTGTATTTGCAAGGCAGTAGAGAACTGTTGGTTGTCAGCGCTCCTGGAAATGGTTGGAAGCGTGTAAAATATTGTATTATTGTGTACAGTTATGTATTATATTTATCTTGGAAAAATCAATAGTAAGTTGCTCCGTAAATATAATACCCGTAATATTGTTATTATACTTTTTTTCCCATGCCCTGGTCCAAAGAAGCGCTCGAATTCCAGGAGATGATGTTTAAGCGGTGGGTCGCGAGCGACTATGATCCCATGACTGTTCTTACAAAGGTGTTTTATGTTCCAGAGAGCAATTTAGCTTCTGCTACGAGTGAAATGAGACTAGTCGCAAACCAGTATAGACCGGTTTTTAGCAGAGCCAACGGTATCGAGGTGCCCAGCGTTAATCCTCGACAGCTGACGACATTCATAGCAAAATACGAACGATAACAGAAACATTTAAGAATGCCACTTGCTAGCTGATAAACGATTTTTTTTACTACTCGATATTAATAGGGCATTCCTACCAAGAATGATCAATACTTTCGTGCGATACCCGGTTGCACGCAATCTAAACATAGTTTATCCGCACTATTTTAGTGTACAACAACAATTTGACGACTAGTACCGTGATAATCCGTTGGGCCCTCGTTCTTCGGTATCCCCAGTACGTATGCGTTTCTATTAATAATGAAGAGAACCTTGTGCACGAAGCGACCTCGAAGAGGGGGGAGTGTACACAAGCTCTACTTGAACTGTATCAAAACGTAATCAAGTGGAACAGTAAACTTGATTTCCTCCCAGGTTACATGTACCGACATGTACGGCTGATAGCATACAGTAATTTGCAGCACAATAGCTGACACGTCAACAAACGGATGCACGTAACCGACTACATGTACCGACTTGTTTACACTAAAAGATACCAAGGCTTGGTCACCAAGCCATTTCACAATTTGTCTATTTTTTTAGATTTTAAACGATATTTAAATTTTGATTTTGCTAATATTAGCTGGTTACGTACACCAGTAACACATGACAGTAAGGCCTGGAGCCCACCCAGGAGGTATGTGTAAAACAACCCCTGTACCGCCCCTCCTAAGTGCCCGGACCGATCGACGATTGAAAAGGCACGACGGCTTTAGTTCGGAGGAGAGAGGTTTCAACGCCATGAGCATTACTGAAGTGTTTAAGGTTGGCGGCAAAAGCTCGACGATCTGACTCTAGAAATTGATTACGGAAATAGAGATTCAACTAGGTACCGTAAAAATCGGCCCCAGTGCGACATCGATTTTGGTCAAAGTCAAGTCAAATATAAAATCATCAAGTTTTATTCAATGGACCCTTTTGATGACATCCGTCCTAAGCAGGTCTTTTAGAGATCTGTCTCTGGAGAATGTGCCATCAATAAAAATGGGAACGTCGCACTAAGGCCGATTTTTACGGTACTCGGAGTACGTTAATCCAAACTGACCTTTTTTACTCGATAAAAGTTTTGACGAGAAGGAAAGTATCTTAATATTAGTAGTGAAAAACATTAAGATGTAACATGCGTTCTTAGCAACACAATGAAAGATGGTACTCAGATGTTGGCGAAATTCACCGTCGCTGTCTATATTCTATAGGGGAAATGTGATTTTGCCCCATTATCAACCGCGGAGCGCCACCCCACGCAAGGGGCGCTGTCTGTGTACGCGTTAGCTAGAACTAGTAGGCAGCGACGATCAGCACACACGTAATATATTGTCACACAAGCGGTTAATAAAAGTTGTGGGCCCTGGGGACTCATATTGCGTCTTGAATAGCCATTCTAGAACTTACTGCTAGAAATATGATGTTTATAGCTTCGTAGTACGTTTATGATAATTTTACTTACAAGATTTTTTGCGTAGTAAATGTCTTTCATATTTTTGCGTGCAATCGTTTGTAGTAGTAGTACACGTAATTATTAAATTAGCGTTAGATAAAAAATACTACTAATACTAAATACAACAAATTTTTATTTCTATAGTGGCCTCCCACCCTACACGCACACAGGCCACTCCGTCGCCGCGACCAAAATAGCATATTCCTTTGTATTTGCGCGCGTAGTGTGCGACCCTAAGAGCATGTGCACCCTTACGAACACAATACGTAGGGTACATTAAACGCACTGAGCCCGGGTTTGTCATTGAATGAGCGCGTAGGCAAGTGATTAAGCAAGAGCACGAAGCGTGGAAGAACACCAAACCAGACTATGTACACGACGGAGTAGAAGTAGCAACATGAAATAAGGAAGTCCACGGACGATGAAAAAGGACTGAGTCTTTGTTGACTGCGCAGTTTTATGCAAAGCACGAGCCACGGCAGTCATTAAAAACACAGAATGACACCTATTTACGGAAGCGGATGAGAGATATAATGATTCTCCACATGCTGAAAAGCACGGGCCACGAAATAGCGCGCACGTTCGAAGCCAACGTAGAGCGCGTAGAGTGCACGGAAATAAATTCTCTCATAGCGTCACGGTAGTGCATGGAGCACGGTCGACGAACCAGGCATTAAGCCGCGGGGGACCATAGACGTGAGATCATTGAGCCTTGCAGCAGGCTACCAGGGTAGAACCAAAGCTCACCGAGCCACGGAGCACGATATTACGGCAGCGCACGATAAAGCAGACGACAGACCAAACGCGATACCACAAGATAACACGATGGTATGGACGGTTACCCAACCACTAATCCATGATACAACATCCAGCCACTGGCGCTACAGACGGGATATCACCGAGCCACGGAGGGCGATGCATGTAGAAGGGCGCATTCCCCGAACATCTGATACCAACGAGGTTATAAAGTACGACTAAGTGGTTTTTCAAGCCGTCATACACAGGGAAGAGGACACAGACAACCATTGTATACCGCATCAGTGTCGATTCACATCAACGCACACCCAGACGAGTTGCGGATCCTGAGGGGCGTGTGATTGTCATTACTGTATCGTGTAGTGTAGCGACAAAGTGTAGTTCCGTCACCTGTTCTAGCACTCTGCAACTTCCAGTTTTTTTGCATATATTGTAGTATACTACTGGGTGGAAGTGATGCATCAGACGAACAAAGCGATGTATATATCGGACTTGAAGAAACGTACCGAGTCGAACAAACTATTTACACTGCATGATTAAATCACATGTTTTGGCATAATTTTCTTCATGATGCTTGTGGACAAAGGGAATACGCCAAAATTTGGGACCAGCAGGCTGTAGACGTCAATGCTTGAGGAAACCATTCGGGCATATACACAGAGATGACGCTTGGGTGGAAGTGCCGCATCAGGCGAACAAAGCGATGCATTTTTCGTGTAATGGGCCTACTTTAAGCCCACTGTAGACGTTAGCGCACGTGTATGAGATAAAGTTTCGTTTCACTTAGTTTAACAATACTTTCGTCCGAAAGTAAGTATTTAATTAAATAGAAAAACAAAGCCCATTTCCAGTAAAATGAGAGCGGTGTTTTTGTTTGTTTGGGCTTCCTTCGAATCCATCCAAGCTAGAACTACTAGAGCTGGATAGGGTCTTGCATGTGCAATACGGTAGGTTCATCGAGCCATGCTTTTCGGTCGTGACTTGATACGGATTACCAGCTAATTGGCCACAATGGATTTGTCGAATACAGCACAACAGCGTACCGTGAACAGTACCTGGTTTCGGCGCAGCAAGTCATATAGCACTTTGTGCCGTACATGGACGGCTTGTCCTTATTGTAGACGGACATCGGATTGTACTGGCTGCAATTCGGAATGGTATCTTCATCAAAGCGTACTCGTGGACCCAGCCGGAATCCGCGGCGGAATGTCTTCTCGATTGTCTGCAGAATGGGTCGAACTTTCCAAGCTTTGTCAATCAAACCGGTTTGACTGTTATTGCTGGTAAAGTGAAGAAAACGCGTGATCGTCTTGAATGTCATGCTTCATCTACAGACCAAATGTTTGACGAGGAACGGCTCAATCTTTCCGCGATGACCAATGACCGCTCAACCCGTCTTTGTGTCCACAAAGTGTGCGAGCCACCAGCAGACCGATAACATGAATAACCTCGTGAACTTTGACGGCCTTCGTTTTTCAAGCTTCCGAACCATGTCAGCAAGGTCGACGACATAATTCTGCGGGTCCTTCTAACTCCCGTTCTCGTTGATTATGAGCAATCCCAGGGATGCACTCAAAACGATACGCCTCTGTCTCCTCCGCGATTTTCATCCGCCGCTTCTTTGAAAGAAAATAAAATAAAATTTCAATTGGCGATTCAGCATACACAGCTGCTGATCGAGTCGGCCCACATGAACCACCGTACAATTCAGCTACATCCAGCTTCACATCACCTACAGTGAGTACGGTACAGAGTTAGACTGTACATTATTAGTAAATTCTGTTTAAAACAGACTTTACGCCATGGGCTTCATCGTAGATATCCCAGCGTGAATTACCCAATACGCGCATCTCATCGTCGTCCTGCTCGAAAAGAACGCTCTCATCTTTAAATTGGGGATCTGATTCAATGTCACTCTCGTAATCACCGAAGTCATTTCCTTGTTCCTCAAATGCACTTTCGTCATCTTCGAGGTTATACTCGTCCAAAATTGGCTATTGATATTGTCCGACGCGGTAGGTTCAAATAGGGCCTCTGACCGGAAAGCGGCTAAGAATTCTTCGCCGTCAAAGTCATCCAATGTGTCAGACCTTTCATCAGGCTTGGTATACACCTCGGATTTTGCAGTGTCGGAGTATTCTTTATCATCCGGAATATAGACTTAATCGCTAACGACGTGTTCTGTATAGTCGGGAACCGGCTTATCTTGAGCGGACGGTAGCGCTCCATCCTGCACCTCAGACGTCTTTTCGCGAGAGGAAGAGGTCGAAGACAGCACCAAGCCCAGCGAGGGAGCTGGTACTTGCCTACGTAAGCCACTTGCTTCCCCATCGGCGGCCTCTGAACAGAGCTCAGTCTCGGGATGCCAACTTCCACTGGAAGATGAAACAGACCGGCTTGGCGCGCATACTTCATCAGACTCTCCTCGCCTGTAATGCAATATTCTGTTAGCAAAAGGTAATGTATCTGTTCATCAATACTGTAAAGCATACCGACAAAATAGCCGACGCCATTCTTGTCTGCGCGTAGTCCGCAAGACACGCCTGGTTTGACGTAAGAGTGGTGGCTGCTATGACCCGAGGGATTTCTCGGCTTCCATCTTTCCTTGACCAACTCGCGCCACAGCGCCTTGAAGGGTCTTTCGCCGGGTCCGTTCATCTCGTCTTGCAGAAACTAAAAAATGAGTGGCAACGAGGGGGAAGTGGTGCCATTGATTTAGAATTTCAAGCCTCTGGGTCATTTATATTGTATTTTCTATGGCGGTCGAATAATGCCCGTCAATCTTCCCTTCTCTTCTTAATCCAAAGCGATAAGTTGACCAAACCCCACTTTTACAAATACATATACGGAGGACTGGACTCCTTCTGTTATAACGATATCTCTGTAAAATGCAGAATATCGTCTTAGAAGGGTAAAGAGACCTAGCAATTTGCAAGGTTTCACCTCCTGATGGCAATGTTGCCTGTTGAAACCATCTCATCTCAACATAGTCTTAGTTGTTTGTGGTGCTAGACGCCAGCCGCTAGCTCACGCTTGCATAGAACCGTAGTCGGCAAGGTTTCACCCTGATGTGGAGAACAACCTTCCTAAAGCGAGTCGCTCAATGTTGCCTGTTGACACCATATCATCTCAACATAGTCTTAGTTGTTTGTGGTGCTAGACGCCAGCCGCTAGCTCACGCTTGCATAGAACCATAGTCGGCTACGTCGTAGCCGCGCCTCTATCTAACTAGAATATCCTAGAAAAAGCACGACCCCAACGCTCTCTCCGCAAAATTGGCGGTGTAGTTGTTCGTGGCGTTAGCGCTGCCGCTACCGAAGAGCATGGGCGTGCACGAGCGTACAGGGGGCGCGAACTTGGTGATGCATGCGGGTGTGGTGGTCGTCTAGGCGCGCTGCGGATTTCGACTCGCTGAGCTTATGAGGAAAATGGGGATTCAAAGCTGGTAACAGGCAAAATCAGCCAACCATACTGTAATAGTAGCAGATTTTTCATGTTATATGCCAATATTCCTTGATGTTTTACTCTGCCCCCGATTAGAAATAAATGATACTGGTTATTTATAATGGCCCGGGTGGTCAAACTGGCGCGTTACCTTACAATGAATTAAGTTTACGCGCAACCGGTGGGATGCCCCACAACAGATCGGACCACTTCTAAATTTTTCTGTCTGCTCCTCGGCCCACACTAAAAATGCTTACTAAAATCGTCACTGTCGCCGCTGGACTTGCCGCAGCGACGGTATTTGCCGACCAAGAGCTCTGTGGCGAGTGGAACTCCACGGAGACCGATGAATATATTCTGTACAGCAACCTGTGGGGAGCATTCGACGACCCCAATAGTAGTCAGTGCACGGGTCTCGATAGAGTCGTTGATTCGACTATTATTTGGCATATGAGCTACAGCTGGGCCGGGACCCCGTACCAAGTAAAGTCGTTCGCTAACGCGGCACTCAAGTTCCACCCAGTGCAGCTTTTACGCGTCAAGTCGGTTCCCGCGACCATCGAGTACGAGTTTCAGCACAGCGAAAACACCATCGCTAACGTCGCGTTCGACCTTTTTACCAAGGCGGCCATCGATGGAGAGGTCGAGAACGAAGTCATGGTGTGGACGGCAGCCCTGGGTGGTGCTTTACCTCTGTCGACGTCGGGCAAACCGATCAAGACGGCAACCATTGGCAATTTCGACTTCACCCTGTATCAAGGCATGAACGGGAACATGACCGTATTCTCGTATGTTCCCGACAAGATGATAACAAGTTTTTCGGCCGACCTCAAGAAGTTCTATGACGGGCTTCCGAAGAAGTACAGGATCAACCCGGCTCACTATCTGACGCACGTGCAGGGTGGCGCAGAGATTCTCATCGGAAATGGCACGTTGACTGTATCCAAATATCAAGCGGCAATCCACACGACTAAAAGGCAATGAATCCAGTACAACTAGCTAACTAACGATTGTAGGCAATTTTACTGCTAAAGTTGGATGGTAATGGTCAAACTCTTCGATACCACAGGAATTTCGCTGGCTTGAGTGATTCATTCGAAGATGGGATTCTTAAATAAATTCTCGACAGTTGTTGTTTCCATTGTTGTTCCGCGACCGATCTCTTGATGGCGCAAGCCTTTCCAAGCCCTATCCTTGTTTGAAGTCTGTAAAATATAACTGCATACTTAAGTATATAGTAAAATACATGCACATTCTATTTATACTGATTACCATGTTCGACGCTGATTACTCATATGGGAATCAAACATTAACTTTCACTTGGAAACGGGCAAAGTCCCAGTCAGAGCCCGAAACGCCCTCTATCGGAGATCACTGGTGACTCTTGCATCATTCCTCAACTTGCCTAGATGAAACTCTCTGCTGCCCTCACCACCATTGCAATCGCCACCGCTTCCGCCGAGACGGAATTCTGCGGCGAGAAAAACAAGACAGAGACCGCCGACTACGTCCTATACTACAATCTATGGGGCGCTTTTGACGATCCCAACGGCCACCAGTGCACGGGCCTTGATAGTGTCGACGGCTCAACTATCTCTTGGCACACGAGTTTTAGCTGGAACGGAACTGCGTGGCAGGTCAAGTCGTTTGCTAACGCGGCTCTGAAGCTCGACCACGTTCCAATCGCAAACGTCACATCGATTTCCTCGACTATCGAGTTCCTCTTTGACTAAGAAGAAAAAATTGGTTGCCAACGTCGCCTTTGACATGTTCACGACATCAAGTCTTGGTGGAAACGCAGAGTATGAGGTCATGGTATGGCTTCAGGCCATCGGTGGGGCTGGTCCCCTTTCAAACACTGGTAGACCGGTCAAGGAGGTGAACGTGGGTGGCGTGGATTTCAGTTTGTATCACGGCAAGAACGGTAACATGACGGTATTCTCCTATGTCGCCGCTAATACCACGAATAGTTTCTCGACTGACTTCAAGCAGTTTTTCGACGAGCTTCCATCCAACAACACGATTGCGCCCGAACAGTACTTGATCAACGTTCAGGCCGGCACCGAGCCTTTCGTCGGAAACGGAACGCTGACTGTATCGAGGTACTCAGCTGCGGTTAACACTGCCTCGACGTAACCTTACAGGCGGTACTCCATTAAAACAGATTACTGGACCTGTGTAGCGTTTGACAGAACGAGAGGTTTACTATAGTATTGGCAACATAATTTGACGCCCACGTACAGTTACATGTAGCCCGATAAAAAGAGTAAAAAGGGTACCGCTTGCTTCAATTTCATTTTTTGCTCTTTAGTTTCAATTTTTAATTTGATGTGGCCCTATATTTCATGTAACGGGTTCTTCCAAATAATATACGGTATACCATTCCATTAGTATACCCAAAAATTGCATACTTTTGGAGTGGAATTAAAAATTTGAGGCGGCACCAGTTAGCAGACTGTGGTCGGTTGTTTTTCAATATACCGAAAGACTTTCTTCGCTTCGACTCTGGGACGTCCCAGCGCTGAACAAATAAGTTTTGTGCTGTGGATTTATGATATTGAATTGCTCTATATAATCGTCCAGAGCTTCTAGCTTCCCACTTGACGCAAACCAATGAACATTAACTTCACCTATCTTCAGTAACGTGAAAACATCTTTGACGGTCTTATTGTTCTTTAGCCAATCGTGTAGCTGATTAGCCTGTAGCTTCGTTGCAATACACGTGAACCTGGTGGCCTCCTTCGCGTTCACGAGACATTTGACAACAGCACCCTCGCCATACTTTGTCGTGAGCACCCCAACCACTGACACTTTCTTCTCTGGGTACTTTGTGCTGGACATTTCCACGTAGCTGATCAATACCTGCAGCTTTAGACTGGCAAGAGCCGCATCCACGCCTCTATTCAGCTTTAAGTTCGCGACTACGTCAGCAGGTGTACTTTCATGGCCAACCAACATTCAACTTCGTTCCTTCGGTAGCTCGAGAGAATTTCGATTTCATAGGAGCCAAACCGATTGTGGCCCTTTCTTCGTTCTTCTCTGTAGTTATGAGTCCTATTTGGATATGCACTTTAGTTCGTATGACCACGACCACACACTTAGAAGAGAAAATGGAAAGTAAGATTAAAAACTCATTGGCGGTGTTTGCCTCGAAGCTCCAACATTCTTCTCAAGCGAGCTTGAACAACTTCTCAAGCTGACACCCACTTCACTTGACTTCATTATGCTCCGACGCACTGCTGCGCTTATACTTATACGCAGAGTCCCATAGTCCGTTGATCTTCAACTTCACCAACGGCTGTAATCGACCAATGGATTACATCTGCACTCATGGTGCTTCGCCAATATTCATTCCAACACGCCTCCCACGAAGCACATCCTGCTCAGTAACTTGTACTTCGTAAAAGTGATATCCTTCATCAGGCTTGACAAATACCAATGAGCTCCAGCAGAATGCGCAAGCGATTCTTGTCCAACGGCTTTGTGAATGCGTCTGCGGGGTTCTTGTCGCCTCTGACCTTATGCGGCTCAATGATTCCCTTTTGAGCTTGTTCTCGAATGTAAAGCCATCGAAGTTCGATATGTCTTGTTCTGCGACTGTAAGTTGGATTGGTCGCCAAGATATGGGCAGCCTGATTGTCAATCCCGAGCTTCAGATCATGTTTGCATTGTGGAACTACTTTTTGCAGTATGCTACTCGCAGCTGTAGCTTCCATAGCTGCCTCACAAGCTGCAACATACTCGGCCTCCGCTATTGAGGGTGCCACGATAGACTGACGTCGCGACATCCAGGAGATCGCACCTCCATCAAGCGAGAACACGAATCCCGTTGTACTCTTTCGCGACTCTGGGTCGTTAGCCCAGTCACTATCACAATAGCCTTCAAAGACTATAGCATCAGGTACTTTATCCGCACGATTGTACGTAATATCATAGCGCTTACCGTTCCAGCAAGATATCTCAAAACACGTTTTAGTGACCCGACGTGCTTGGTTGACGGTTTGGCCACAAATCGACTTAACCGTCCTACTGCAAAAGCCAAATCCGGTCGTGTACCAGTAGCAAGGTACATTAGCATCCCCACGGCCTTTCGATATTCGAAACTGGTGTCGGACTCTTTGTTCTCACTGAGCGATGACAACTTCACGGTAGTCTCCATCGGGTTCCCAACTGCGTGGGCCTGATCATATCCGAATATCTCCAATACCTCACGTGCATACTTGCTCTGTCCAATCGTGATGCTCTTTGAGCTTTGAGCTACCTCAATGCCCAATTGAGGTAGCTCAAAGTTTTGAGTCAACAGACCTTGATGTTTGTTGCCATAAACCATATCCAGGTCCTCGAACAATCTCTCCTTGACCTCCTCATCGTTCGTAGCCACCATGATGTCATCCACGTAGACTAGGATCAGCATGACGGTGCTATCATTAAAGCAATAATACAGACATGGATCGGTCATTGATCGTTAAAAGTAACGCTCAAGTAGCCATTTGTTCAATTCAGAGTTCCACTCTCGACCCAATTGCCGTAGTTCATACAATGCCTTAGCTACCATGTAGACCTGTCCGTCAACTGCACATGGAAAGCCGTCGATTGATCTTAGATATTGTCGTATCCTTAGCAGCGCATTCAGATATGCGGTGCTGATATCCCCACCGTACAACTGCAAATACAATGCCGCAGCCAGAGCCACAAGCAAGCGAAACGGCGACATACGAGCCACCGGCGAAAGGGTCTCACAAAAGTGAATCCCTGGTCGCTGGTAGTTACCGAATGCCACAATTCTCGCCGTGAAGCCAATTACATACCCCTCGTGATCTGATTTAAGGGTATAGACCCATCCAGTAGTAAGCATCTTGGCGCCTTCGGGAACTTCCAAACTTGGTATCTCCACAATGACACCCTTCGCTCTCAACGCGGTTATCTCATCACCTTCTGCTAGCCCCCATAAGCCTGCAAATTTAGATCGTCTGGCTTCGCACCTTTTTCGAGGAATCTTCACAGTGCTAGCTTTGATATACTGACCACTCGAATCCTTGATCCGAGATGTACTCTGGATTGCATTCACGACATAGTCATTCAGGTACGCAGGCCGACGTCGTTCGTAATATTCGCAAAGGTCTGTACGTGTGCGTTTCGCTTCCGGTTTGTCAGCAGGACGCTCAACACGCAACTCTTCCGAATAAGTCTCATCATGATCAACGCGTTTTCCGGTTTGCTGATGATAGAGTAAGCTTATATCCATAACTTCACGGCTCCCGATTGTATAATCCAGGTCATTGTTCATCTTTTGTATCTCAGTAACCTAGCGATCCAATCGAGCTAGCCACTGTAATATCGTCCCCATTGGCGGCATCTTCAGGCAACATATCGAAACAAGCTGTTTCCTCATCATCCGCAATGGATCCGCACACTCCAGCCACCGATTCGTTTCCATCACTAGGCAGATCAGCATACGAGACTACCTCCCCATATGCTGATCTACTGATTTCCTGCGAATGCGCCTGGAGCTGCTCAGTGCTCAGAACATTCATCGTACTCTTATCCAGCGTGTTCGACACCTTGTCACTGCGTGAATTTGTCTCCACAACCGCCTGTGGATCATTATCTGGAGTTACATGCCCTTCGGATGCATCACTGTACTCACTTCGTACATGCCCTGTACACATCTCGGTATACGCGTCTCCTTCGTGTACTTCCGATACTACTGTACCCGGATGGTCAATCTCAGAGGCTTCGTCCACTTTGCTCACCTCGAGATCCATGGTTTCTTGGGTCTCAGCCACACTCAAATCGGACGAAACTGCCGAGGTTCGCATGTTGAACGCATCGGTAGTACTCCCCAAGGACACATCTATCTCATTGAACTGCTCAAAGTGTAGTGACACTAGGTCAGAGTCATCCATAGACGCATTGTGACGATCTCGATACATCACGTCTTCAGATAAATCAGCCACAAACTTCGCTGTTCGGTCATCTGGAAAGAACACTTTACACCCCACGACATCTTCAGCATAACCGAGAACAAATTTTTGTTTGGCATTACCGTGGTGTTTCTTGCGTCCAGGGGTCACAGGTACATGTACGTAAGCCAGTGCTCCGAATTTACGGATATGATGTAGATCAGGTTTACCCCCCCCCCAACATCATCTCGAACGGTATCCCTCGAGTTCCTTTGTTGAATACTCGATTCTTTATGTAGCCAGCGTTGCTCAGAGCCTCCGGCCGCATACTCTTGGGGAAACCAGACTGATGCATGGTGACTTTGGTCATACCAATGAGCGACTGGTCAGTACGCTCACATGGATTCCATTGCGAGCTCTTCGGAACGACGAGAACATGCTCGATACCGTGTACTTTGTACCAACTCTCCATTTCATCGTTGACAAACTCACCACCTTTGTCCGTCAAAATCCTCTGAACCTTGTATGCCACCTTCTCCAATTCACTATGTTGTCTACCCGCTTGACGCTCTGCCCACAACACATACTCCTTGATGTGGCGGTTAATAACAAAGCTTAATTTGCAAGTCAGCATGGGAATTTTGACAAAGCGCGAGTAACCATTCAGGATCACAAGGACGGCTTCGAACCTAGTTCCATAAACTTTGCTTGGAATCAGAAGGTCGACGTATACCATCTGATTCGGAAGCCCCAGGTAGATTCCTGTGGTGCTGCCACAATCACTGTTCTCCCCTCATCCATTACCCTGAAGTTCATGGTCTCACGATCATAATCGAAATCAAAGCCCTGCTCAGCAGCGAGGCCAGGAGATAGAAGTGCATGTTCAGCTCCTAGTAAATAGAAAACATCATATAGGTACACCGCCACCGGTTTCCCGTCAACTTCGGAGACAAAAGCAGCTGTTCCAACACCGGCAATCATCGATGCAAGTGCTGTGGTAACCCCATGAATACTCTGTGATTGACTGGTATTTTCCGCGAATGCCACGCAGTATGATTGATTACCAGTCAAATGAATGTTTGCAGCTGTGTCGAAATACCACCAGCCATTATTGGTGTTCGCCGGACCTTGGTTCTCATGAGCTTCACGCACCTCTCTTATTGCATTTCGCCCGAATGAGGCTGGCTAGTAACACTAACCTCTCCCTTAATTCTAGCGTCGATCATCATGGCA